GATACTGTAAAACTTCTGGAGACGGACCCTACTTTAAAGGTCATTTCCTAGGATTTTGAAAGACTACGTTACAAACTCAACTTCAGCAATACGTACGGCAAAGTCAGCGACGATACAAGACGAACAAAGCGAATTATACAAACAGCCGCCAAGCAGCTGAAGAAACTCAGGATCAAACTCTGTTCATTGCAATCAACGGTAAAAAGGGACACATTTTCCGTAAGAAAATAACCAGCTGTATTCGCAGTAACAAATCTTGCAAATCATCAGGTATTTCACATTTGCTTAATTTGTCAAACCAGGCCATTCTATACATAGTTCCTGGCACCATGACATCGCAACTCATCATCATCATGATTAATAGCGGCAACAGGTAATTCCATCGCATTTCTCAGCTATAAGTGACAAAAAAGTATAGACATGAAATTGACCGGAAAAAATAGTACAGAAAAATTACTATGAAAGATTTTAATTTACATCTGTGTGTTGTTCGTCAATTTCGCAGAACGCACGAATGATAAATAGAATGCACCTTTTGATTTTCATACGGATGCGTAAAAACTGCTTTCTGGCGGCTTGATGTCATGAAACAAAGCATGTAAGTGAGTCGTACAGTGCCTGTTTTTCGCGCGATCAACTCTGAGTGTTTGAGTAGGAACTTATTCCGCCCTCGTGATTGCTATGTACCTAGAATCTCTATCACGAATATCTATCACGAATACCGATAATCTTGATTACTGGAAAGTCTGTTATGAGAAGTCCAACGAAATTCTCTGGTTCAGCATCACTGATAATGATTGGATGTATACATTATTGCAAAAATCGATAAATTAATTTAATATATTCTTTGTGGCGTGTGTAGGCCAGCTGTCTATAATAGTGGGAGGTACATTGCATCGCATTTTATTGAAATGATGAGCGAACGGACGACAATCATTTATAGTTATTATGAATATTAGCAAGTAAATATTTTCACTAGCTTACATGATAGACGGCTGAAAGTTTATGCACCCTGTTTCCGGTCGTGAATGACCTGAAGAGAGTCAAAGGTCACTTATCATTGAGATCCTCTGCTCAGTTAATTTTCTGTGATTCAGTAAAAGCCAAACTGCGGATGTCTAACATTCTGCGCTGAAAATAACTCTATGATAGGCGTTTAAATCAGCGTCGAATTTGCAAGACATATGAGTTCTAAATCTTATCATTCAACAATTTAAAGATCCGGTTTGATTCAAGGCTCACAACTGAATTTTTAGGAGCATATCGACTTCGCCAAAGCTGCTCACTACACATCCTGAGTTAGTATCGCGCAAGACGAAATCCAATAGACCATTTCCAAATCACCCGCAGACAGCTCACTTTCTCAAATCTGCTGACGACATTGTGCCATTAGAGGCGAGGGCAAAAGACGTTGAAGTCATGCAACGAAAACTAAAGAGCAAGCAAGCAGCAGTTCGAATCAGCAAGGCGAAGATGAAAATAATGAGCAAAAGATTTGTAAAAGCAAGCTATTGCGATCATAATTATTATGTAGAAAAGGTGACAAGGCATGCCTAGGGACAAATAATCGCTTTAGACCATGGCAAGAAGGTGTCACACGGATTCAAGTACAAGCAAAGAGGCGCTGATATTCTTGGAAACATGAAATTATCAATTGCAATGAGAACATCAAATGTAAAAAAACAATATATTTCCTGCAGGTCTATATGACTGAAAAATTTGGACTTAATGGCATAGGATGAAGAACAGTTAAGGTTGCAGTTTCGCGATATGGAACAAGCGATGCCAAAAATTTCCATCAACGACAAGCTGCAAAGGGAAAAATATAAATACATACGGAAATACAGGACGTCGAATCAGTATGAAATGAAGGAAAGCGAAAATGAGCAGATCGCATTGCACGACTAACGGATATCAGATTCACTTTAATAATAACCGATATGCACCCAATGGGCAGGAGGTACCTAATATGATATCTTCGGCTCAGATTCGATGTTGAGCCGAAAGATGGGCATGAAAGCATATTGCGGCGAATCACACGATTCAGACGAATTTGGCCATCAAGACTGGACAACAGTGAACCATTAATAACGAAGTATTGTCAATTAAGAAATTTAAAAGCAACGGAAGGTATACAATGATTGGTATGTTTCATTCACTTCCGAAGAAGTTTCAAGCGGAGTGAGGTAGTTGTCATGACTTAAATTTCATAGATAATTAATTTACTGAATGCTTTTTGCGTGAAAAGGCGATTTTTGATTTAAAAAAATTGACACAGGCACATACACGGTTCGTTTCTTGAGCTCAGATGCGCATGAAGTTTTTCAGGTTGTCCAAATGAAATTTGATTTTATTTTCTGGTAACGCACAGGCTGAGCATCAAACACTATGCAAAGTTAGGCAACAGAACGCTAATGATGCAACAACTGAAGCTAGGCTTAGCTTTACAATTATTTGGAATTATGTATATCAGTTAGCGTTATGCTAATAGCGTTCCAATGCCTAACTTTATGTATTACTTATTGT